CACCAAGGGAGGAAAGCCATGGCGGGGCAGTGCTGTGTTGAATTGGGCGATTGGGATTGACGTGTATACACTGATGTGTATAAAATTGATGACTAATAAGAACCTGCTGTATAAAAAAATAAATTTAAAAATTAAGAAAAAAGATATATATGGAGGTGAGGGAGGGTGTTAGTGAGATTTGAGCAAAAGGTCTGAATAACGAGAAGGGGACAGCAATGCAAATTTTTGGGGAAGGAATATTCCAGACAGAAGAAATAGCAAAGAGAAACACCGTCATGCAGAAAAAAGCTTGGTTTGTTCAGAGAACAGCACAAAGGCCACTGTAGCTGCCACTCCGTGGGCTCGGGGAGAGCGGTGGATGATAGAAGGTCATTGGGGAAGCAGTTGGAGGTTTTAAGCAGAGGAGTGACGTGAGAAGTTTTGTAGTAAAAGGATTACTCTGGCTGTATGTGGAGAATGTTCTGTAAAGGAGGCAAGTACAGAAGCAGGAAGACCTTTTAGGAAGCTCAGATATTACTGTGCGTGCTCCGTTTAAGGATATAAAAGACAAAATTGAACATTTCAGCAGAGATTTGGAAATTATAATAGAAGACAGTAGTTTTGAAAAGGAATCTAATTAGGGTTTCCCTGGTGGCACAGTGGTTAAGAATCCACCTGCCAATGCAGGGGACACGGGTTCAATCCCTGATCCGGGAAGATCCCACATGCCAAGGAGCAACTAAGCCCGTGCACCACAACTACTGGGCCTGTGCTCTAGAGCCCACAAGCCACAACTACTGAAGCCCATGTGCCACAACTGCTGAGCCCACATGCCACAGCTGCTGAATCCTGCACGCCTAGAGCCCATACTCTGCAACAAGAGACGCCACCACAATGAGAAGCCCGCACACTGCAACAAGTAGCCCCTGCTCGCCACAACTAGAGAAAGCCTGCATGCTGCAGTGAAGACCCAATGCAGCCAAAAATAAATTAAATAAATAAAATTTTTTAAAAAAGAAAAGGAATCAACTTAGAATTCCAAAACTGAAAAATGCAGTAGCTGAAAGTAAAAATGCAGATTACAGAAGGGCATGAGGAAACTTTTTTGGCATAATGGATATTTTCACTATTTTTATTTTGGTGATGGTTTCAGCATAATTCATCAGTTGCATACTTTAAATATGTGCAGTTTATTATTTGCCAATTATACTTCAGTAAAGCTGTTTAAAAAACAATGAATGAGCTTAACAGCAGATTAGAACTAAAGAGAGAAGTAGTGAAATGGAAGAAAGGTCAGAATAAAATGCAGAAAAGAGAAGATAAAAGACATACAGGGTACTGTGAGATGTTTTATCATGTGTCAGTAGAAGCCCAGAGGAAATGAAAAAAATGAGACAGAAGCAATCATTAAAGAGATCATCGCTGAGAAGTTTTCAAACTGATGAAAGCTCTCGAGTCACAGGTACAGGTATAAGAATCCTTACAAATCCAAACAGGATAAATTTTAAAATGCGTACCCAGACACAGCATTGTAGTAGCACTAAAGAAAACCAATAAAACAGAAAGAATTAGGCACTAACAGACTTGCACTAAAGTAAGTACTAAAGAACATCTTTCAGGTGAAGGAAAATTCTAGAAGTACAGAAGATGTAGAGGGAAGAATGGAGGGCAGTGATTATTGCAAGTATGTGCACAAGAAGAAACAAAATCTGCCCCACAGCATGTGATTCACAGTCCAGTCAGGAGAGAGGAACTACCCCAGTTATTTGAATGAGAATTTGTGTTCTAGTGTAAAGTTTTTAATCCAGCACTGAAACAGTTAAAAGATACCATGAAGGTAGCAACTGCAGGGCACAGCTTCCAACCCTAGGACTAAGGGAACAAAGTGAAGATGTTGGAATTATTTAGGAATTAAGAAGAGGAGCCCCACAGATTTGAAACTCAGACCTGTGAGGAGGGGACTCTGTACAGTTGGTGCTGGTGTGTTTGTTGAGGGATAGGGCAGTGAAAGAATTCAGCCGCAAGTGTCGGGAAGACTGCCGAGTGGATGCAGCTGCTGCTTTGGGAAGAAATTGCAGCTGCCAGGGCCAAGCAGCATTGCTCACAGAAACTGGAAGCTGACGGAAAGGAGCAAGTCTTTCTCCCTCCTCCTGCCTTCCAATCTCCCTGGAGCTCCCCCTTTTGGCAGAGATGAGTATGTATATGAATGTGGAGCCTGACCTGGAGAAATAGGGTTTGCAGATTCCCAGGCACAGCATCACAAAGCAGAATATGAAAGGGTGGGTGTGGGCTGAGGCAATAACTTAAAAAACAGCACACACAGGCTATTTAGAAGTGTGGTTAATTTTTAGACGTTTGAGCGAGTTTTCTTGATATCTTGGATTTCTAGTTTAATACCATTATAGTCAGATAATAATCTAAATGATTTCAGTTCTTCGATATTTATTTAGACTTGTTTTATGACCCAACCTATAGTGTATCTTGGTAAATATTTCAGTGCACTTGAAAAGAATATATATTCTGTTAGTAGGGAGAGTGTTCTATAAATGCTAATTAGATCAAGTTCGTTAATAGTATTGTTCAAATCTTCTGTAGGACTTCTATTTTTTGTTTTTTTTCTTTTTTGGTATATTTGTTCCATCACTTACTGAGAGGGGTGCTAGATCTTCAGCTGTAATCATGGATTTGTCTCTTTCTCTCTTTAGTTCTGTCAGTCTTTGCTTCTGGTATTTTGAAGCACTATTTTTAGATGCACACTTTTTGTTTGTTTGTTTGTTTGTATCCATATTTTTCAAAACAGCCCTCTGGGGAAATCATTCCCAGGTGCAGAGGGCTGTGCTCATGGGTAGCCTGCTGGCTTCTGCAGTGAACCTGAGCTATGCCAATCAGTCTCAAATCCTGGATCATGTGTGGCTCTGTGGCAGTAGCTGAGACTCTACAACCACGTAGACTCAGTTCTGGGTGTCACCCTGGCCCCTCACTAGCTGATGCTTGAGGGAATCAGTGTCCTTTTTTCAAACTGAAGATGATAACCCTTGACTTCAAGAGGTTTACCCTGGGGATCAAGCATGACCATGGATGAAAAGTACCAAGTACAGTTCCTGGCATGCTTCCTGCCTTCTCGCTCACAGCCTGCCTGCTGTCCTCTTAAGACATCAGCAGTCATAGCGTCTCTTCTAAACTTCCCCAGAAAAGGCTCCTGTGGAGGCATGACATTCCTGTCACCCGGCCCACCTGGGCTTGCAGGGCCAGGGTTTCATAGCTCCACTCAGCCTGAGATCTCTTGCTCCTTCTCCTGTACCAACAGAGCTTCTCCCGATGAAGGGGATTGTCTGGGGTAGTTCAAGGTCTCACTTTCAGCCTCTTGAGTTCCTGCACCAATTTTCCTTGTCTACTAGAGGTGGACTCACGGAATGTCAATTCTGACAGCTCCCCAGTAGGAACCAGAATGGCACTGGCCATGAGGCTGACGTCTCCATCCATTAACCCACCTGGACTGGTGTAAGTGGAAAAGGAGGTATCGTAGGAGGAGTTGAGTAGTTCACTGAACCAGAAAGACTTGTCCAACTGGAACCTGGGGACTCAGATCTCTTCTCTGCCTGCGTCATGCTGTCTCTTGCCCTGTCAGTCACCCAACTCATCCTTGCTTTTCTCAATGATATAGACTGTGTCCTAGAGGTTGGGAGGACATCACCTCAGCAGCTCCAAGCTGGTATCATTCCAACTTAGCAACCCCGGAGAAAAGAGGGCATCTCCCTCTCAGCTTCACCATATAAAAAAAGATTCTGATATATAAAGGGATTTGATTGGTTCATCTTGGGTGACAGAGCCATCCTTTGGACAAATCAAGTTGGCCAAGGGGATGATTTACTGTGATTGGCCAGGCCCGAATCACATGCTTATTCTTGTTTTTTTTTTTGTCCAGTATGCGGGCCTCTCACTGTTGTGGCCTCTCCCGTTGCGGAGCACAGGCTCTGGACGCGCAGGCTCAGTGGCCATGGCTCACGGGCCTAGCCGCTCCGCGGCATGTGGGGTCTTCCTGGACCGGGGGGCACGAACCTGTGTCCCCTGCATCGGCAGGCGGACTCTCAACCACTGCACCACCAAGGAAGCCCACATGCTTATTCTTGTAGCCACAAAATGGGGACATCATTATTGGTAACCCTACCAGAACCATGTAGAATTTTGGAGTGGGAGTGGGGAATAGCAGTGATGAGGCTCTTACCCCCCCACCAAAAGGGGTGATTCTGGGTAGACATAAACAGCAGACATCCCTGACCAGTGTGCAGGCACCTGAGAAGTCATATTATTCATCTGGGGGTTGATTAGCGAGCCCAGCATCAGCCTCAGGGAAGAGGACTGATGTGATTGTCAGGAGGGAGTCCCTGTGCTCTGGCGGGGGGACGCAGCGGGGCAGCCCTGCTTGTGGTAGAAAAGACTGGGTGGTAGAGTGTAGCAGCCAAAGGCTTGGCTCAGCTCAGCCTCTGGCTTAAAACGTGGCCATGCCACTTACTAGCTCTAGGATCTCAGGCAATTATTTAACCTCTCAGAGCCTCAGTTTTCTCTCCTGTAATATGGATGATTTTGATGAAGTTGTGACATTTCCTGTATTAAAATTCAGTAATTGCTTATCATTTCTGTAGCCGGATTGCTCCAGTCTGCTACTCCATTCACGTCAGCTTGAGTCTTCTTGTTCTGTGTTGATTTCATTAGACCACCTCTTTGAGTCTAGGTCCCCTAGCCTTTGGCCTGAGTACTAGCTGGTGTGTTCATGGGACGACTGACCTTCCACGGTGTGCCTGTTCCCAGAGGTTGGTGGGTTGTCCACAGGAACAGTTCTCAGAGGCAAACAGAAGGCAGTGCAGCAAAAGAGTAGCCTGGGAACCTTGGGAAGCAGGAAACACTTCCATCTGGACCTGCAAGACGGCCCTCCCTCTGTGGGCGTCGCGTGAAGTGTGCAGCTAAAAAAAAGGTGAACTGAGGTTCTGGACTCAATCTCCTACCAATTTTCCGGATTGTAGGAAGAATGGAGCCAAAGAGAAATTGTGAGTGTGGCAATGGCTCAAGCCCTGGAGGAGGTGCGGAAGCAAAGGGAAGAGTTCCAGCAACAGGTAGGCCCCCTGTGATGCCTCCACCTCAGTCCCAGGCAGGACCAACCTATCTCCTGCTCTGTCCAGGGCAGAGGGTGGACACAGGTCTCAGGAGTGTCGTCAGCTGCTTGATTCCCCTGATGTCTCTAGGAAGATGGGAGAAAGATGTTAGAAAGAAACCCTCACCCCATAGGATGGCCTTTTAAAATTTTGATAGTTAATGTGATAAACATCACCTGGGGAAAAGTCCAGAACCAGGTACTACTGGGCTCTAATTCTGTGAGGTGGGCCACCACCGGCCACAGGCCCCAGGACCACATACAGTTGAGCTCTCAGCAGCAAGGGTGGGAAAAGCCTTCCTTTGAGGACAGACTCAAGAGTTAGGCCCCAAATCTAGGTAACTGGCTCTAGGTCTTGGTTTGGTCCTTAACAGATCTGTCTGAGGTGCCTCTGAAAAGACCCTATGATAATCATACCTTCAAGAATATGATAATGAGGTCATTTGTATCAAATGCTGGGCACGTCACAGGCCCTCAGGACGTGGAAGTTACGGTTTTGACAGCTTTTGGAAGGCTGGGCAGAATGGCCATGTCTCTGGTAGGCCCACTACAGGCCAGAGTCGCAGTGAGGGTGATTGCCCCTGTGCAGGGCCCCTGCCGAGGAGAACTGATCTGTGCATGTTTATAGAAGCAGAGGTTAGCTTGGGGAATGTTCTAGGCTGTGGCCTTCAGGGAGGGATTCATGGAGGACCCTGGTAGTGGAAAAGTGGAGACTCCTTTAGGGAAGATGGGATTATTGCTACCAACCTTCTCTCATGTTGGTTTTTTTCTCCGAGGCTGCTAACCTGATCGCCATAGAAGGTGAGAAGGAGCAGAGTCTGCAGGAAAAAACTGAAGTGATTCTCCAGAAAGAGCAAGAGATTCTCCAACTGAAGAAAGGTGAGGCATCGGCCAAGGCTGGGCCTTTTCACCTGTTCTTGCCCGGACCCCTGCCCAGAGGTGGCCCAGTCACCGCGCTCACCTCCTCTCTGCCCGGCTTAGGTCACGACTCCGCCCTGCTGCAGATGCGCCAGCTGCAGAGTGAGCTGGAGGCCCTGAGGGGCCTGAGGGCCGAGGAGCAGTCGGAGACGGCCGACGTGCAGGAGGACCTGCTGAGGCTGCAGAGCCAGGAGCAGGGTGTGGTGCTCTCAGTCAGCGAGCCTCACGTGAGTCCCGCCTGAGCCGCCTCCCTGTGCCGCCTCCCTGTGCCTCAGCTTCCTCTCCAACGGGGG